TACACAATGGAATTCTATGCTGCAGAGAGAAAGAAGGAGCTACTACCTTTTGTAACAACATGGATGGAACTGGAAAGCATTATGCTGAGTGAAATAGGCCAGGTGCTGAAAGACAAATACCATATGATCTCACCTTTAACAGGAAGCTAAACAACAAAACAAACAAGCAAGCAGAAAAAAAAAGAAAAAAACAAAGACACTGAAATAGAGAACAAGAGTACAGTGACCAGAGGGGAGAAGGAAGGGAAGTTAAGGGGAAAAGGGGGGAGGGATTTGGAGGAACAAATAGGAAGGACACAGGGACGAGAACTAAGGGAGGTGGAAATGGGAGGGAGGTGGGGAGCAAGGGGCAGGGGAGGCTGGGATGGGAAAAATAGACAAAAAACTGTACTTGAAAAATAACTAAATAAATTTTTTAAAAAAAACAACGAACTTTTAAAAGAAAATGTTACTTTTAAAAGAAATTTATGAAATATTTTTTATTTTTTTAAAAATATTTTTCAACTAGTTTTCTGTCTTTTACTCTAATCCCAGCCCACGCCCCAGTGCTCCCCACCTCCTTCCCATTTCCACCCTCCTTAGCTGTTTTCCATGTGTCCTTTATACTTGTTCCTCTAAATCCCTCCCCTTTCCCCCTGAAATTTCCTTTCTTCTCCCCTCTGGTCACTTTCCCCCTGTTCTCTATTTCTGTGTCTTTGATTCTATTTTGCTTGCTTGTTTCTTTTGTTGTTTAGCTTCCCGTTAAAGGTGAGATCATATGGTATTTGCCGGTCCTATTTCACTCAGCATAATCCTTTCCAGTTCCATTCATGCTGCTGCAAATAGTAGGAGCTCCTTCTTTCTTTCTGCTGCATAGGATTCCATTGTGTATATGTACCATAATTTTTTGATCCATTCATTTACTGATGGACACCTAGGTTGCTTCCAACTCTTGGCTATTGTAAATTGTGCTGCTATGAACATTGGGGTGCATAGGTTCTTTTGGATTGGTGTTTTAGGGTTTGTAGGATATAATCATAGCAGTGTAATTGCTGGGTCAAAGGTAGGTCCATTTTAATTTTCTGAGAAAATTCCATACTGTTTTCCATAGTGGTTGTACCAGTCTGCAATCCCACCAACAGTGGACTAGGGTCCCCTTTTCCCCACAATCTCTCCAACATTTGTTGTTTGTTGCTTTGTTTATGATAGCCATTCTGACCAGTGTAAAGTGGTATCTCACTGTGGTTTTAATTTGCATCTCTCTGATAGCTAGCAATATTGAGCACCTTTTCATGTATCTAGATGCTCTGTACGTCCTCCTTGGAGAAGTGTCTCTTCAAGTCCTTTTCCCATTTTTCAATTGGGTTGGGTGTCTTCTTAGAGTGGAGTCGTGTAAGTTTTGTATATTTTGGAGATTAAACCTTTGTCTGAGGTATCATTGGCAAATATGCTTTTCCATACAGTTAGTTGTCTTTTTAATTTAATAGTGTTTTCTTTAGCCACGCGGAAGCTTTTTATTTTGATGAGATTTTATTTGTTTATTCTTTACTTTATATTTCTTGCTCTAGGGAAACTTCTGTCTTGCGTAAAGTCATCCCAGACATTGGAAGGTATTGCATTTCTTAGGGCTTGGCAATCAGGACAAAACCAGAAAAGAAACAGAGGTCTGGGGAGCAGTGTATGGTGCGATTCTCTGGGGAAAAACGGGTGCTCATATCTCTCGGAAACCTCATCGCATAAACCATCTGAGGAAGCCTGCAAGTGCTCATCCATCCCGTAGACTGGAATAATGTGAGGGTGGAAGTCAGTACAAAAACATATTGCACAGAAGCTAAGAGAATGCTCTAAGAACTCACCATGCCAAACGAACAGACTTAAGCTGGGTTCTTATCCCATCTGAACCCTCAAATGATTAATCTACACAGAAAACCAAAGTAATTGGCGTGGCATGTCTATGTTGTCTATGTTTAGCATATAATTTTAAGTAAAAAGGAATGGAAATCTCTATAGATGCCAACCTTACTCAGATATTAGATTACTCAAAGCACCTGCTGGTTTGAATCAGATAATTTCACATGACTCTTGTTAAATTCTCCTTTCAATCTGCATACATTGCATAGACACACTGGTATCATCTTCAGTCAACATGAGTGTGAAAACTTTCAGATAAAGCATAGGTTGTTTCCTTCTTCTGTGTTACAGAATCAACAAATCCTGAGCCAGTGGTGAAGGTGAGACGCTGAGTGCTCAAGGGTCCTGTCGATGATTTAGATGGTTTTGTCTGCTTAACTCTCCAAGGCTTGTGAACCTGTTGTATTTATTGTATGTTTGTTTCTGTGACACCTGGAGCTAATTCCCTGACAGAATCTTGTTGCCCATTCACCTGACAGAAGCTGCTTGAACTTGCATTTCCTTCACTTACACATGGAGCGAGAGATGGGTGAGCATCTGTTTGTATAAATTTGTCACAAACCAGTGTTGTGTTGCCAGAACACACACACCTAAAGGTCACAACCACCCACAATCTCTGCAAAGAATGAAAAATAACATTTTTACATAAAAATATTTTCAGGTTCATTTTCTTTGAACTGCTGTGTCCAAAGTCCCTCCCACTCTCACTAGAGGTCCCCCTTCTTCACCCCAGTTTACATCAGTTGTCCTTTGTTACATGTGAATAGAGATAATCATGCATTCAGTGGCTTTCACTCACGACTGTCCTCTGCCCTACTGCATTCAGACAAAAAAAAAGTAAAAACGGTCTATTTTGTATACCCCTTCATGTCATCCACAGATTAATGGTGATTTTTCTGCTCCCTCTTGCTAACAGGCTCTGTGGTTTTCATTCACTGAGTTCTACATATTGCATTGAACATGACAGGGAATTTACCCTCGAACCTCACTGGAAGATATTTTATCAAGTGTTTCAATAGCAAATGCAGCAGTGAAACTCCATAAAATTCATCTTTGGGTTTAATATTACATGAAAAGAACTACACGCAATTCTATTCAATTGTAAGGTTAGTTTATTAGGGCTCCTTAAATTCACAGTCTTCATAGATTTGGGGGAATCCTGTCATCTTTGGAAGCAGATATCCAAACTAAGGCCTTCCAAAATCTGATGCTCTTGGATGGAGAAAGATACCACCAAAGACTTTGGACCAAGACCCTGATCTATCTCTATCATCATCATTATCACCGGTGGGGGCAACTTTGCCCCCAAGTCCCACCATCTGCCACAGATGAAAGTAACACTACCAAGACATGATCTGCTTGGGGAGGAGAGGTGGCCAGTTTCTCAGAGGAAAAAGGCCAGAAGCCCCTTCCTCCAGGGGACTTTATTGAGTTGTAATACACAGGAATACAGCATAGCAAGTATTAACCAGTAGATAACATTTCAAAGAAATCTGAGGGCTTAGTCTGAGTCAGAGTCTGTCAGGAAAAAGAGTTGAAGAAACTTTGGGAGACATACTCATTTCCTTCTCAGACCTTTAACATATGAATGGAAGCACTCTTAGCAAAGCAAGTTTCACAGGACTTTTAGGAATTCATTTTTATGCCTAATTTACCCTGGATACCACTGTAGCAAGGCAACTAGCTGTACCACCTCCCCATCACAGGTTTTCAGGCTTAAGTGGATTAGAGCCAGGAATTGCTTCTCTCAGAGGACATGGGGACTTGGGCTATGTCAAAATAGCAAAGGGGTGAGGGTTCATTACTCCCTCTTTGTCACAGCCCCCCCCCTCGAGTCCTTCCATGATGGCCTCCCAAGTGATCCTGTCTGGCTTAGGTTGCCCCTCTCTCTGAGGAGTCTTACCTATCATGGACATAAACAATGCTTTGGGGGTAGGGGTAGTAAGCCAAGGCAGCATTTGCTACCAGAGACAAGCTTTATCTCCTGCGGCTCACATTCCGGAGATCGCTCAGTATGTCTTATCCATGGGGGTAGTTACAATTCCTGAAACCATGCAGAGTGTTACCCAGCAATCACCATCATTATCATCAATCATCTTCATTTTCATTTGCTTACTTATAATCATTCTTTTCATTTTGTATACATTGTGGTTGTCCACACAAAATGACTATTTTTTCCTCATTGTTCACCTTTTATTGTTGATAAGTGAAATGGGTAGTCAGACTTGATTTTATTTCATGTGTCAATGTTGGCATCTGATGAGTCATTCCTGCCCCTTCCCCATCTGTCCACATAGGAAATCTGATAGGAAAGCCTGCCAGCCCCCCTTTAGATGTCACTGGGAGATTGAAACCACACAATACCAGTAAGTAGAAACCCCCCACTGTCTCGTTATCAACAGAATAAAAACCTGAATCAGTCCTCTTTCCTGGCTCTATGAAAGCACATCTGACTTGCTGAGGACCTTTCCCAATCCTTCTAGAGATTTAAAAATTGTGCACAATAAATCTTCCATGCCCCTTTGGTGTATGTGTTTTAGTCTCCAGTCTGGACATCCACACGAAGCTGTGTGGGTCACTGTGTCCTGTGTGGTGTCACCTATGCCAGTGCTGTGAGCATGATGCCGAGTCAGTGAACATCACCACCAAGGGCGTTTCACTTTCTGGCATTCATTTCATTTCATTGCCTCTAATGCCCACTGTCCATCATGAATGTGCCCTGGTGCTGGCCAGCTTGAACACTGAGGTGTGAGGGCTGGGCAACACTGTTAGGCCATTCAGATTCTCAGATTAGGTTGTGCTGACATGGGTCAGAAGGTGTAATGATTCATTGGAACCAGGCCAAGAATGCCTGAAAGAGACTCTGCCTTTGGTCCATGTGAGAATATTGTGTTTCTTTACAACCAACTTGTCAAACTCAGAGACTTCAGAGGTGAGTTCAGAATAAGGAACCCAGAGAGATTTGTTGAGGGAAACTTACAGGAAGAGGAAACCACACAGGAAACCAGCACAGAACTCCTCCTGAACATGCTCTTGAGAAGGTCCTTGTGTTCAGGGACCTTGAATCCCCCCTGGTGTTCACAGCCCTGCAGGGAGATTTGTGTCTGGGCTCATGCTTTGTTCCCTTCACTGTGGCTGTAGTACAGTAATACACAGCTGTGTCCTCAGCTCTCAGGCTGCTCAGCTCCATGTAGGCTGTACTTGTGGACTTATCTGTTGTCATGGTGACTCTTCCCTGGAACTTCTGTGCATAGTTTGTACCACCATTGTTAGGGTTAACTCTTCCCATCCACTCAAGGCCTTGTCCTGGAGCCTGCCGTACCCAGTTCATATAGTAGCTGGTGAAAGTATATCCAGAAGCCTTGCAGGAGACCTTCACTGAGGCCTCAGGCTTCCTCACCTCAGCCCCAGACTGTACCAGCTGTACCTGGGCCTGGACACCTGTGGAGAGGAGGTAAAAGTGTTTGGAAATCCCCCTTGCCTCTTCCTGTCCCCATCCTCAATCCAAGGACTGTGAAGTCCGTTACCTGTAGCTACTGCCACCAGGAAGAGGGCTCTCCAGCTCCAGTCCATGGTGAGATGCTGTGCCATCAGGACTTCTATAGGGGAGGGTGTGGCTATGGGTGATGTTCTCAGGCAACAGCGAGAGCCATATTTAACTAGTCTACCTCTTATCATCTGCATATTCATGAGATACAGAGTTTCATAGCTGAAGACTCGATACCACCTGACAGAAAGAAGAAGGCACAAATACCATGGTCTGTGGGAGTCTGAGACTCCATGTCTAATCAGTGTTTCAGGATATGTGTCCTGTGCCAGGTCCCTCAACTCTGTGCTGACATAGCTCCTTCCATTGAAGAACAAACCTGCACAGGACATGCTCCACATTTTGAACCCACTTTTGGGTGACATAGAGAACACCTGGATCTGTTCTTGGCTCATTACCTGAATGTCTTTTTCCTGTGTCTCTAAACGCTGTACCTAGTGAGTTACTGCAACCATCCTTGTTCCCCGGGTCCTCACAATTCAAATATAAAGAAGCCCCACAAATAACACTGTACTGTCATTTTATTTTATTTTACTTTTTATTTTTAAGCAGCATTTAATTTTTTTTTATTTATCTTTAGAGGGGAAGGGAAGGAGAGAGAGAGAGAGAGAGAGAGAGAGAGAGAGAGAAATATCAATGTATGTTTGCCTCTCGTGTGTCCCTTGCTGGGAACTGGCCTGCAACCCAGGCATGTGCCCTGACTGGGAATCGAGCTGCAGTCCTTTGGTTCACAGGCCCATGCTCAATCCACTAAGCTACACCAGCCAGGGCTGTACTGTAATTTTAATGTCTTATTGAGTTTGGTAAATTTGCTGACAAAATAGGATATTTACAGTCAACTGGTGTATAACTCTTGTTTTAGATGATTTCATGAAAGCAGAAAGATCCGGGGCCTCACAGTCAATCCCTACCCACTTATCTGCATTTGTTCCTGGGCAGTAGCCCTGAGCTTGTAGGACCTGCATGTCCCCTGCTTCCCATCCCATGTCCCGCAGGAGAGGTTCCTGTCTGGGCTCACAGTGAATGGACCTCTCAGGACCTCTTGTCTAGAATTAAAGACAGTACTCTGAATTCAGGATGCTCCCCAGGGACATCATATGCTATTATATCTCTAGGCACAGAGAACTGGCCTAACTAAGCCCCAGTGATTCACCAGGGAGCCATCAAACCTGGAGTCTATGAAGTCACAAGGGAGCTCCTTCCCTGGGGCTGGCAGATGCCCTGAATCAACCAATACCACATAACCCTGAAGTTCTTGGGAAGTGTGGGGTTCTCTAATGTCCTCTGGTTCCTCTGCCTGAAGGTCCCATCTGAGTATCCCAGTATGAGGACCTAATCCCATTGCACATCTACTGGTAAATAAATCACACACACACAGCTATTTTTCAACTGGTGCCCACTGTCCAAACCTCCAACTGCACCTGTTCCTCGGATGTGTCCTGATGCTGACCAGCTTAGACACTGAGCTGTGTGGGTCTGGGCTGTACTATTGGCTCCAGGACAGACTCAGACTTTTGTCTACAGGAATATTTTCAGAGACTTCAAAGGTGAGCACAGAATCAGGAATCCAGAGAGGTTCTGAGGGAAAGTATTACAGGAAGTGAAAACCAGACAGGAAATTTACCCAAACCTCCAACTGCACCTATTCCTCGGAGTGTCCTTGTGTTCAAGGCCCTTGAAGGCCCCATGGAGGTCACAGCACCTCCTATAGGGAGGTTTGTGTGTAGGCTTCCAGCGACTTCCCCTCGAAGTTTCTCTTTTTCAGTAATACATTTCTGGGCTGTTGGCTCTCAAGTTGTTCAATGTTTAAAACACCTGGCTCTTTCATACTTATTAATTTTTAGAGAAAGGAAAACAGAAAATGGAGAGGGAGAGAAACAACAATGTGAGGGTGCCTTTCACAGGTCCCCCACTAAGGACATGGTCTAGAGTCCAGGCATGTACCCTGACTGAGAATAGAATCAGGGACCCTTGGGGTTGCAAGCCAGCATTCAATTCACTGAGCCATACTAGCCAAGGATAAATACACTTGGCTCTTGGAGGTGTCCCTGGTGATGCTGGGCTGAAATGTCAGCATTGGGTTAGAGTCTCTACTTCCATCACTCTTCATAACACCAATCCACCCCATGCCTTTCCCTGGAGCCTGATGTGTCCAGTGCAGATGATTGCTCCTTAAAGAGCATCTAGAGGCAGTGAAGTTGAGGGAGAGCATCTAGGAGGAATTCACCAGTACTGGGCCTGACTCCTGCAACATGGGACAGAACATCTGGGGACAAGAAGCATTAGTTTTCAGTCATGTGCATGCATCACCATCCTATAAACCCTTGTCTGACACCTAATACAATCACCCTGAGGGCTTGTAACCAAGCATAGGACAACACCCAGAAGCATCATCTTCTTCTAGAGCACAGTTTTGCCTTCCCCAGAGACCTCATCTGTGAGAACTCACAGCCCAGTGGAGAATTTACTCCACAGCTGGAAGTGGAATTTGCATTTGGAACAGCCTCTTCCTTATAAGTGAGGAGAGTCAGAGGTCCAACACCCTGACCATTCAAGGACCTCAGTGAGGATGACTCTTCTCTTGAACTTGCTCTCCATACATATCACAGAGAGGGGATCAAATGGTTTATGAGATACATTGGAATTGGAGCAAATGATGGAATTGTCTTTCTGAGCATAAGAAAAAACGGTGTACTAGATAATTATGTAATACTTTTTAAAAATAATTTCATTGTTGTTCAATTATAGTTGTCTGTATTTTCTCCCCACTTGTCCCAACCATTCCCTCTAAACCCACCTCCCTCACTTTCTTCCACCCTCCCCCTTGATTTTGTCCGTGTGCCCTGTATAGTAGTTTTTGAAAACCCTTCTTCCCACTCTCCCTTACCCTCTCCTCCCTGGCTATTGCTAGATTGTTGTTAATTTCAATGACTCTGGTTATACTTTGTTTGCTTTTTTCTTGTGTTGATTTTGTTCCAGTTAAGGTAATATGTCTGTGTTATTTGTCTTTTACCATGCACCTCTTATTTCACTTAGTGTAATGCTCTCCAGATTCATCCATGCTGTCACAAAGGGTAGGAATTTCTCCTTTCTTTCTGCTGCACAGAATTCTATTGTGCAAATGCACCACAGTTTTTTTATGCACTCATTTACTGATGGGCACTTAGTTTGTTTTTAGCACTTGTCTATTGTAAATTGGGCTGCTATGAACATTGGGGTGCATAGGTCCTTTTGGATTGGTGTTTCAGGGTTTTTAGGGTATAATCCCAGCAGCAGAAATACTGGGTCAAAAGGCATATCAATTTTTAGTTTTCTGCGGAAATTCTATAGTGTTTTCCACAGTGGCTTCACCAGTCTGCATTCTCACCAACAGTGAACTAGGCTTCCCTTTTTGCCACATCCTCTCCAACACTTGTTTGTTGATTTGTCTATGATGGCCATTCTGACTGTTGTGAGATGGCATTTCATTGTGGTTTTAATTTACATCTCTCTGATGGCTAATGATGCTGAGCATCTTTTCATATTTCTCTGGATCCTCTGTATGTCCTCCTTGGAGAAGTGTTTGTTCAAGTCCTTTGCCCATTTTTTAATTGGGTTTTTGTCTTCCTGAAGTGGAGTCCTGTGAGCTTTTTATATATTTTGGAGATCAAGCCTTTATCTAAGGTGTCATTGGCAAATATGTTTTCCCATACAGTTGGCTCACTTTTCATTTTAATGCTGTTTTCTTTAGCCAAGCAGAAGTTTTTAATTTGATGAGATCCCGTTTGTATATTCTTTACTTTATGCCCCCTGCTTTAGGGGACAGATCCATGAAAATGTTGCTATGCGGAATGTCTGAGATTTTCTTGATGACGTTTTTCTCTAGGACTTTTATGGTGTTATGACTTATATTTAAGTCTTTTATCCACCTTAAATTTATTTTTGTGTGTGATGTAAGTTGGTGATTGAGTTTCATTTTTTTTGCATGTAGCTGTCCAGATCTCCCAACACCATTTGTTGAAAACGCTTTCTTTGCTCCATTTTATACTTTTTACCCCTTCATTAAATATTAATTAAATATAAAGATGGGTTTATTTCTGGACTTTTTGTTCTGTTACATTGGTCTATGTGCCTGTTTTTATGCCAGTATAGGTTATTTTCATTACAGTGACCTCGTAATACAATTTGGTATCAGGTATTGTGATCACTTCTGCTTTGTTCTTCTTTCTCAAAATTGCTTCATCTATTCAGGGTAGTTAATGTTTTTATATAAACTTTGGAAATGTTTGTTATATATACATGAAATATTTCATGGGTAATTTAATAGAGATTGCATTGAATCTGTAAATTGCTATGGGTAGTATTTTGATGAAGTTTTGATGAAATTAATTCTTCTGACCCATGAACACGACACATTTTTCCATTTGTTTGCATCCTCCTTGATTTCTTTCTTCAGTGTTTTCTAGTTTTCTGAGTCCAGGTCTTTTACCTCCTTAGTTAGGTTATTCCTAGGTATTTTATTTTTCTTGTTGATATATCAAATATAATTTTTCTTTTTTAAAAATATTTTATTTATTTATTTTTTGAGAGAGGGGCAGAGAAGGAGAAAGGGTGGGAGAGAAATATCAATGTATGGTTGCCTCCCATGCGTCCCCTGCTGGGAACTGGCCTGCAACCCAGGCATGTGCCCTGACTGGGAATCGAACCGTGATACTCTGGTTCACAGGCCCATGCTCAATCCACTGAGCTATGCCAGCCAGGGCTCAAATATAATTTTTTTTTATTCCTGCTTCTGATGTTTCCTTGCTGATGTACAAAAATGCCTTTGATTACTTTGTATCCTGTTGTTTTTGCCAAATTCACTTGCTGGGTGGAGTTTTTTGTTTGTTTGTTTGTTTGTTTGTTTGTTTGTTTTGGTGAAGTCTACAGGATTTTCTATGTACACTATCATGTCATCTGCAAACAATGAGAGTTTTCTTTCCTCCTTCTAATTTAGATGCCCTTTATTTCCTTTTCTTGTCTGATTGCTGTGGCTAGGACTTCCAGTGCTATGTTGAATAGGAGTGGTGAAAGTGGGCATCCTTCTCTTGTTCCTAATATTA